AAACAATCTACTTGTATTGTTGGCACGTTCCGGGCTGGCGGGGGTTGGTGAGAGAGAGATTGCTGTGTCTGCATTTGTGACGGCGTTTCACGTGTGCGTGTGTAGGAGGCTTTTCGTGTGTGGGTGTGTGAGAGAGGTGCATGGCAGTGCGGCGCCACGTGCAATTCTCCCGATAGAGGGTGGAGAGAGCGAGAAGTGGGTGCGCCACGTGTGTGTGTGTGTGTGCGTGTGTGGGTGTGTTGTGTGTATGAAACAGAGAGAGACGAGTTCCCAGGTAGCGCTTGCCTCTGCTACGTGTGTGTGTGTGTGTGTGTGTATGAAACAGAGAGAGACGAGTCCCCTGGTAGCGCTTGCCTCTGCCATGTGTGTGTGGGAGGTGCATGGCAGAGCGCTGCCAGGTTCGATGGTATCTACATGATTGGGTTAGTGGTAGGTAGGGTTAGTGGTAGGTAGGTGAAAAGAATTTGAGAGAGTAAAAAAAAAAAAAAAAAACGATTGCGATGGTTGTGTTGAAGTGAATAAGAAAGCCGAAGATCAGACTACAGCTGAGTTTATTCTTTTTTCACCACAGAATGAAACGATGGTATCTACATGATTGGGTTAGTGGTAGGTAGGTGAAAAGAATTTGAGAGAGTACCCAAGAGCCCAACTCAGTGGGTACACCCATGAACTGTTGAAATACAGACCTGTGTTCGAATCCAGATGATGGATCCAGATGATGGAACTTGACGAGTAAAACCAACTACTAATGAATTGCTTGGGGCCGGTCAGCTCAATGAGAATATCTCAAGGCGGTCGCCCTTTCTGTTTTAAAAAAAAAAAAAAAAAAAAACAGATTGCGATGGTTTTGAAGTGAAAAAGAAAGCCTAAGATTCATGTGACGGGCCAGTGAAGGATGCTTTGTCCATGACCAATAGTGATCGGAAAAACGAAAGTCGTTACCAACCAATGAAGAGGAAAGATTGGCTACACATGGCCTTAGGTTGTGTACCGTCACTATTAGTAATTAATTCATTAATGAGGAAAGTTGTTGACGGATGATTTGTCCACGACGTACAGTGATCGGAAAAACGGAAGTCGTTACCAATCAATGCAGGTGAAAGCTTGGTAGTTAACCAATCAATGAAGGTGAAAGATTGGTAGGTAACCAATCAATGAAGGTGAAAGATTGGCTAGACATGGCCTTAGGTTGTGTGTACCGTTCCTATAGCAATTAAGTAAATGAGAAGAGTTGTTGACCTTACCCGCAGCAAGACTTGTCATTTTTCCACCCCAAAATGGATCGCTGCCAGGGAGGTCCCCAAAAAACCCAAGGGAAAATTGTTGGCAAAAGTCGTCCTCCCCTTGGCAAAACCTTTATCATTTTTCAACCCCAAAATCAGAGGGGAACTTCAAAATGATGGGGAAGGTCATCCCCCCGATTACCTTTGTCACTTTTCCACCCCAAAATGGATCATGTCGTAACGTTGGGGAAAGTTATTCCCCCCAAGGGTGAATCCTTTGTCGCTTTTCCACCCCAAAATGGATCAGCTCGTGGGAGATTCCCCAAAAAAATGAGGGATAACTTGGACAAGTGTTGGGGAAAGTGGGTAGGACAGGTAGCGATTGGAGTGAATAGGCTTGTGGTGAAATCGTGTAGGTGATGGAAGAGATACTGGCTTCTCTTGTACGGAAGTTACCCCCCCACGGTGAAACCTTTGTCACTTTCCACCCCAAAATGGATCACATCGTGGGAGATTCCCCGAAAAATGGGGGATAAGTGTTGGGGAAAGTGTGTAGGACAGGTAGTGATTGGAGTGAATAGGCTTGTGGTGAAATTGTGTAGGTGATGGAAGAGATACTGGCTTTTGTTGTACGGGATGCTGGTAGAGCGGAAGGGGAGAAGAAGGATGGCAGTCCCTGAAATAATCGTGGAATGAGCTTTTGCCTGGATGGAGAGCCTCACGCACCTCAGAGCTATGCAGGCTGCTGCAGATTGCTGTTTGTAATGCTATAATAAACCGTATAACTGGTAGAGAGGAAGAGACCACAAGAAGGATGGCATAGTGCTGCAAAAGCTGTTAGTAATGGTATAATAAACGGTATAACTGGTAGAGCAAGATGAGAAGAAGGATGGCAGTCCCTGAAATAGTCGTGGCATGAGCTTTAGTAATACCAGGGAGGTCGAAGTGTTGAAGCAGAGATGATCAGACGCAGAAACAAAAAGGTTAGAAGCGGAGGCAAAGAAGGATGCAGCGGAAGCGGAAGTAGCAAGGTTAAGGGATCAGGTGGAGAGGCTGACGAAGGAGACGACTGTCAACGTTACTAGAGAAACGGATTTGAAAACCAGGTTGGCGGCGGTTGAGGGAAGTGAGTCAAAATTGATGAGGACAGGCAGACCAAGATCGACGCCCCCTAGATTGATACAGGGTGAGAATAAGGCTACTGACGTCAATGACGGGTTTATGCTTATCCAACAAGAGGCGAAGAAACTGCGTGCTCTGAAGAAAGTTGGTCTGAAAAACATCTGTTCGCAGGAAGGATTAACTTACAAAACTATTGAAGTAATGGCGGATGAGTTGGCCGAGATCAGGGCGGATTCACGCTTTGGTCGAAGGGAAGATCACTGCTTGAAGCAGACTAGGGAGGACGACAGTGAGGATGGACAACCATCATCAAGTGGTACGGACAAGGAAGCGAGCGTCAATGTCGAAGATGTCCCATCTGATTCCGCTTTGAGGACGCGTCCCGAGTGCGACTTAGTGTTGGGAGGCTGCTAGCCTGGTAGGAAGTATAGTGTTGGTTGTTGCTTGGAGTCAAGGAGTGGTGCATTCGAGGATGTGTATTGGAACGTTGTCTTGGAGCTTTCTGTTTTTGGGGAAATTTTGTGGGCGTAGAAGTTTCGTGGTTTTCTAGAAAATGTGCGTGATGAGAAATTTGACTTGACATCCTGTGACCTCCCACTGATCTATGTCTTGATTTCACCCTGATTTAAGCATGTGTATATCGACCTCGAAGTCGGATGAAAAGATCATTTATTCCGTGTCAGAAATCAGAATATTGTGGAATCTGGGGGAAGGAACCAACGACTGTACAGCTGGCTGTGACGCCCAACCTCACGCCCAGCGCGACTTCCTGATCGGAGTGGATTGTGGGCCTGGAAGTGCGAAAAGGGGTGTGCCAAGGATTTTTGGGAAAAGTGGGGGCATCTTAAGGATATGAATGCGATTGGGCAAAAAGGGGGCGCGTGAGGCCGGGGACTCACGTCAAAAGGGACCGGGACATTGTGGGCGACGAGTTACGGGGAAGTCCCTTCGTGGTGGAGGCGGTCCTGAAAAGTTGGGCCGTCGGGCCCCGCCACGTGGCACGGGTCGCTGCGGACCTTGGTTGGGTCTTTGAAGTTCCTGAGTTCTCGGCTCGCCGCGACGTCGACAATTCACGCTGAATGTATTGGGCCAATAAGGGGCTATGGCTGGCCACGGAACGACGCTGAGTTGATGATATGGGAGGAGAAGGCGGAAGGGAGGGAAGCTGGTGGTAATCTGAACGAATCCGGGGTGGATGAAGTAGTAGGTGTGGTCGGGAGAAGGAAAATCGGAGCACCGAGGGTCGCTAGAGGTGTCACAATGGAATTCCCTCGGACATAGCCGATTCTCCGTGAGACAGGGATAGCGTGTCCTTATGAGCTCGTTTATAATAGGGGTGAAGTAATAAGGGTCGTAGGACGAATCTGAATTCCAAGATCGCGTCATGGTGTCATCGTGTACGGGATAATTTTGGATAATTTTGGTTGGGTTATCGTCACCGCCCACGAGCACGTATAGGCCCGACGAATCTAGCTGCGCCTTGGCGTGCTCGTACGGGATGATGGTTCCGTCGCGAGTCTTGTTTGGGTGGCGAATCGACGCACGAGAATACGTGTAAGGACGCGATTCGAATCACATTTACACGTGATCTCCTGCGGCGTTCGCCGGATCAGACTTCAGACCGCCTAATTGCTTTGTATGTTTCAATCATGCAAGATGCAACCATACCACAATCCCACCGTGCGACAAGCAAAAACGAGAACGAAATTGGTATTGGGACTAGATTCTTATCCCCTCTACAGCTGCATCAGGTGTGGGCAAAGATTCGACACGAACAGAGGGCAAGGACGAGGATTCTTATCAAAAAGATGTATAGACAGGCATAACGTTCTCACATCCACACATTTATACATCCATACGTTCGATATCCAAACACATAATGCAATCGGGCAGTCATAGCACAGACAAGTGTGAGACAAATTCCAAGCCAGAATTCAGAAAGCCGAAACGAAAAATAAGGACGGGCATCCGCTCAGAGCCGTAATCAAAATGTATGTACAGAGATGAAGAGGGAGAAGAGACAAAGAAACAGCAAACCCGCGTCCATCGACCTCAACTCTCTCTCGCCTCCTCCCTTTCTTCTCCGATGCGGAAAGTCCGTCGTCATGCACCAACCCACAAAGTCGTCACCCCACTCAGTCTTCCCGCACCCGTTGGATTCGCCCATGCCCACAGTCCGTCATGGCCCACGTCAATCCCGCGCGTTCGGCACCAGCCCATCGGGTCGCCCAACTCCTACTCTACTCACCTCTTACTTCGCTCGTGTGCCGACCCTTCCTGATCGCGCAACCCCGAGCTTCCAACAACGGGCTAAGAGAGCCGACTAATCGCGCAGCCGAAATTTATAGCGTTCATGCATGCGCGAAGAACATGGAATCTCCCAGACTTAGAGTGAAGATTAGATGGGGAGCGCCTGCGTTCTGCATGATCGGGCGCGGCACGCATCGATCCGAGCATGCAAGACGCGGCTTACAAAGTCTCAGCAAAGGAAGGAGAGAGGAGGGCGGGAGAGACGAAGTGTAAGAAGAGAGATACAGTTACAAGGGCGTCTTCCAAAATTACAGTTACTCATACGATTAAAGGCGCCCATTAATCAGAGTACCGTCACAGCCGCCTGAAGAAGCGCGTAGACAAAAGGCGCAGCGCGGCAGAAAAAGTCCTAATTACTGAATTCCTAAATTCCTATCTAATGCAGAAAAGCAAAAAAACATTCATTTCAGAGAGAAGGTCCAAAATTCGGAGAGCCATCGAGGCTTGACAAAATTCGAAAAAGATTCAAAAGAAAATTCAGAAGAACGAGGCAATTTCCCGCGCGATGTTCGCGCCCAAAAGATCGAACCCGAAACGAAAGAAGCGACGTCACATTTATTAATCGCGCGGGTGGTGGCGCGCCAGATATCCCTTCGACCAATCTCCCAACCGATCGTCCCAGGACGCACCCAACCCCGAAGAAGGGACGAAAAAGACGAAGAAGTGAGGGAACTGATGCAAATTTCCACCGATCCCGATTTCCCATAATTGGCCCAATCTTCCCAGCTTAGGACCCCTTGTTGCAACCGCGCACAAAATCGCGCGTTACAGAAAGTGGTTTGTCACATATGTGACGCCCAGGGGGTTCCATATTCGCAAGCTCCTGCTTGCTTGTTGACACGTGTCGATTTCTCTAATCGATCGACACGCGAAACACTTCGCGTTATGCCACTTACCGTTCGATTGCGTGTGGACGTCATCCAACATGGCAACTCTGCTCTTCTACTAGTTCCTCGGATTGGGCTCTCCGACGATTCAAGGACGGGATCTGTCTCATGCCGTCGCCGCGACACGCATCCATTACCTGCTGCATCAGTAATTAACCGGGAGGGGGAAAGGAAGTCGGTACATGTATGAGGGGGGGCGGGGCGGCTCCATCGCAAGCTCGGGTACGAAGCGCCCGATGTCAGTGAGGTCGTAGGGAAGTTCTTGAAAACGGACAATGTGATGGAAGTGGGGGAATCTCTGGCCGCTGCGGGGAAGGGAAGCGAGGTAGTCTGGGTAAAGGGATACGAGGGTTCGGAAGACGTCTGTGCGGAACCGATCATGGTTCTCACACGCGTGGAAAGTCCCCGTAACGATGCAGTAAACCTCTATATGGTTACGGCCCGCCACGCGGCGCTAAGGAGCAGAACGTGGAGGGAGTAGTCGGGGACAGCACACCGGACGGAGGGGTTGGGGTGAACAGTTAGTTCTAGGCGGGTGGAGTAGAAATGTCGGAAGGTGGCGATGGGGAAGGGATTACGGGGCTAGACGACGCGATGGAAATACTGATTGAATGAGAGATAGCTAAGGGGATGGTGGTATATGGATCGGGGACGAAGGGCTCAGCCCCTCATTGATACGTTGACGAATTGGGAGGCGGGCAGAGGCGGGGGGGAACGTGGATCGGGATCAGGGTCGGTGCCTTGTCGTCGCGGCTCCTGAGGTCGTGGCAGCAATGTCCCCATGTTCCGGCTTGGGCAGCTCGGGGTCTTCGAAAGGATCGTCTGGTGCAGGATCGGTTGCCGACCGCTTTCCTTCCGCGATCTCTTTCTTGCGCTGCTCAGCAGCCTCCGGGTTCTCCTCTCGTCGATCTGGCTCTGGCACCCCCTCGAGTTCGTCGTGCGTTGGCCCCTGGTCGTCCCTGCTTTCCACTCCTTCGTCATCTTCCTCCTCCTCCTCACTTTGCTCGCCCTCGCTGTGCTCACTATAGGCCTCTTCCTCCTCCTCCGAAAGCTCCTCCTCTGGGTCTTCTTCTTCTTCTTCTTCTTCTTCTTCTTCTTCTTCTTCTTCTTCCGCCGATTCTTCTTCTACTTCGCGCTCTCCTTTCTCGTCCTCGGCCAATCGTGTCGCTGCTTCCCCGGCTTCTCTCCTCAATTCTTCTTCCGATTCCTCTTCTGCTTCCTCTTCTACTCTCAGTGCCGCCCACTCGAACGCCGTTGGTTGCCGAAAGAAGCGTGGATTAGTCAGGCTGTGGACGTCCAGATACTCGCTACGGGAGGGAAAACGGCCGTCTGCCCAACGCTCCTCGATACAAGCCGACCACTGGAGGCTCGGGGCGAGAGTCCTTGTGAGGGTGTGTGGCACGGGTTCTTCGTTGCTCTTAGAGACGATGTCAAGAGGGAGTTCGTCGGCCAATCGTGCAATCACGATCGTAAGTTCGCGCACGATCTGTGATCGGTTTCCCCAATCCACTGCTCCAAAGACGAATCCCAGGAGATTTCCCGCCACGTTGGTCCTCCACGCCTGAATGACGACCAACTCCACAATCTCCAATGCAGGCCTCTGATCGTCTTCCCACGTCCAATTCAGATCCACTCGTAGCAGGCAAAATGAGAGCTCGACAAATTCTTCGCGCCACAGCCTCCAACGGTCCGGATCAACGAGGGGTACTGTCAGGGGCTCCAGACGGAAGGAGAGGCGAAGGTAGCGAGATGACTGCCAGAAGATGGGGAAGAGAGAGGGAGGAGAGAACGTCGAGATCGGCGCGCGACTCATCTGCGTGGCTGGAAAGGACCCAGTTCTGGGAGGACGACAGGTGGCTCGTGTAGCGTTGTGCGCAATGTGTTGACTTCGATGCCGTCGACAGGATAGCACTCGTCACCGTGCCTGGTGAGTCGCCGATCCCAATCAGTGGCCAGATCGCGACCCCACCGGTACAAGGTGCTTTTGATGGCGGCTTGCCGCCCCGGATCGAAGGCGGTGATGTCGCCACTGAAGACTACCACGGTAGACACGTGGCTGACTCTCGGGGCCGCTTGCCGTTGGAACGCCGTTGCCTCGGCCAGCACCACTACCTGAGGATTGCTCGTGAATCGGAACTTTGCCACGCCGTATACACCCGCAGTGCAGAAGAACTGCGCAAGGCGCATGAAGTCGGGGCTGATCCGCGGATGATGCATTGGGCGGATGGCTGCGATCTCTCCCCGTGGCATCAGCAGCTGATCACTGAAAGCTCGCTCGATGGCGAAACTCATGGCGATGACGGAGGTGACGGGGTAACAGAGAGGGAGCAAGAGGAAGAGGGGGAAGGCGGAGAGTCAAAGTCGTCGTCTTCTGCTTCCTCAGAGGGAGAGACAGAGGGAGAAGGAGACGGAGCAAAGGGAAGGAGGCGAAGATAGGATAAGTGGCGTGTGATCGGACGAGCCGATCGACTGCCAGAGACTTCAGGGACGAGACGCACCGTGTCCACGCCGTTGGGGCCGAGCTCGATCACGCGATATCGCCCGAAAAATCTTACCTTGGCGAGCACATTTCCTCACCTGCACCACATCCCCCAATTTGTACCGGGGCCGTGGACCCGCATTCCCATTTCGGGCCTCGTAGCTCCGGATCTGTCGGCCTTGGGCTAGTTCGGTCATTCTCTGTCGTTTTCGGGCTAGCGTGGGTAGTGACCATTCCATTAACTCTAGGTGCCATTTGTCCTTGTCCCGAGCCGTAGCCCTAGTGGGCCGTCGGTTTAATGTAGTCTCATCCGGGAGGTTCGGTATCGAAACGCAAGCGACACTATTGGTTCTTAATTGGAAGGGGCTTAGCCCCGTCGATTCGTGAGGCGTTCCGCAATGGACCGCCAGGATGTAATCGACGATATCGGGCCAAGGTCTCGGATCCCGTGCCGCGATGTTTCGTCGCAACGCTGTCTTTATCACTCGGTTAGCGTTTTCGACCAGTCCGTTGGACTGTGACATGTGAGGTGCCGTGTTCCATATGGCGACGCCGTGTAGGACCAAATTTCTTAACACTTCTCCCCTGAATTCAGCCCCATTGTCGGTCAGGATTTCTTCCGTGTCCTGATGCATCCCGAGGAAATGGTTGACATACCGCGCGATTTCCGTGGCTTGCCGCGTGCGATAAGGATACCCTTCGATCCATTTCGCGAAATGGTCGACAAATACCAATAGGATTGAATATTCGCAGCTATTAGGACCAGGGGGACACCACTATGTCGGTAGTGTCCATGCTCACTCTTTGAAATGGTCGTTCAACAACTGTGGGCACTATCGATCTTGGTGGTTGAATCGGCGCCTTGTCAGCGGCGCGGACTTGACAGTTGGTGATAATGTATTTTACATCGTCGCGGATATTAGACCAATACCATTCATTTTTGTCGATAGCGGGCTCCATGATTCGTACGGCAAAATGGGCCGCAGTTTCCTCGTGGGCTGTCTTAACCAAGTCATACCGCATGAACGGATGCGGTACTACCATCCAAGTCCCACTGTCGTCCGTCTTTCGTTTTTCTAACCTACCTTCTACCCATCGATAATCACGAGCCCTTTCGTTGGCCCTCCTCCGATCTTCCTTGGTGAAATCCTGGAGGGGGTTACCTACTAGGGTGGCAATTAAGGCAATATCCGTCCATACTTCGCCCCTTCTAAGCCTCCGGGTCTTTTCTAACCCTTCTGACGTGGCATCCAAAAATCGAGTCTCGGTAGGAATCTTGTCGGTCCGGCACAAGGGGCACAACCATGGTTTACTATGGCTTCTGTATTGGATGCACGAGCCATAGGCTCGTGCAACACACTGTCGGCAATCTATCCAATCCGCATACCCTTCTCCGTTAGGACGCATTGAGACCTCGTATATGTGGGAGATAGCTTCACAAAAATAGCAAAATTTGTCAGGCAGGGAGAGGAGAGACGAAGAGGAAGGGGGAGAGAGAGGGGTAGTAGGATTACCTCCGTCACCCATCGCCACCGCTTTTTTTCTTGCCTCGTGGAAAAACTGTCACCTGTCCATATTTCGGCTCGTTGGTCAGGTCCGGTTCTCTCCACGGTGTAATTTCCTCGCCCTTTGGTACCTTGGCAGGTCGATGCAGACATGTCAGCCCGTCCGCTTTGCCGTGTCGATCTGTCTTTCGATGGACGATATCGAAGTCGTATTCTTGCAATCGCACCGCCCAACGGCCAATCATGCCCGTGTAGTTGGTGAGCTTCTTCAATGCCAGCAGAGGCTCGTGATCTGTTACCAGGCGAAACTTCTGTCCGTAGAGATATGGATGGAAGTGCTGGATTCCCCAAACTACCGCATAGCACTCGCCTTGGGGTGCAGAGTCGTTTCTTCGTTCGTCCGGTACGGTTCGAGACGCGTACTCGATGACGTACTCTCTACCATCGTTCCCCTTCTGGGCTAAAATAGCGGAAATAGCTTTCGGTTGCCAGTCTGTGATGAGGATGAACTGTTTTGAGGGGTCTGGCCGGATCAGAATAGGGGCCGTTGCTAGAGCGTCTTTGAGGGTCGTAAAGGCCTGCTGGCACCCCGCGTCCCAACCGAGAGGCTGGTCTTTCCGTAACAGATTCATTAGTGGTCGTGCAATCGCGGCAAAGCCCTTGATGAAGCGTCGGTAGTACGACGCCAGCCCCAAGAAGGCTCGAACCTGCGTTAGTGACGTGGGGACCGGGGCTTCCTTCACCGCCGCAACTTTTCTCGAGTCCGGCCGCAATCCTCCACGTGTCACAACGTAGCCTAAGAATGAAATTTCAAAGAGGAAAAATTCGCTTTTCTCGAGCGCAACCTTGAACCCAGCATCTCTTAGTGCGCCCAACGTCCACTCGATGTGTTGCGCGTGCCCATGATAGGTTCCCGAATAGACCAGGATGTCGTCCATGTACACGATCACAGAAATTGATCATCCCTTACGTCAGCCGTGTCTTGTTGACGAAATTCTGGAACGTCATGTTCATCGCTCGTTGAAACGTGGCATGGGCATTGCAAATCCCCATCGGACATCGGACCCACTGCCACGTGCCCTCAAACAACACAAAGGCCGTTTTCGGCTGATCTTCCTCCCTTACCAAAATATGATGGAAACCATGTCGAATATCAAACTTGCTGAAATAATTGGCGCATTCAATCGCATCCAACAGATCATCAATCCGGGGGAGGGGATACACATCTTTGATCGTGATTTCATTCAGCTTTCGATAATCGATGCAAATGCGAATCGCCCCGTTTTTCTTCGGCACTAATACTACGGGGAAGGACCAAGGTCCGATAGCGGGTTCAATCCAACCGTTGGCTTCGAACTCCCGAATTCGTTCGAGAGCCTTTTTGCGTTCAATCAAGGAATACCGATAAGGTTTGCAATGAATCGGGGAGTGATTTCCTGTCCGAATTTCATATTGGATTACTAACGACAACCCAATATCAGTGTCTAACACACTAATTGCTACTTGGTATTCCGTTAGAATATCCGCAATTACCCGGTGGATTTCATCTAGCACATATTGTGAGACGTGTAGTTCGAAAAGTCGGTCCTAGATTCGAACGTTGATCTGTTTCATGTTCGCCTGTTTTGTCAAAACGGGTGGAGGCACCGAGATTAATGAATAATCCGATCGCCAGGAGAACACCGTGGCCATCATCTGAGCATCTTCTTCTCGGATTGCCACGTGTCCTTCCGGGGTAATCCCATCACAAACATCCTGCCATGGCACTTCCTTAGTTGCGATTTTTATCCCCAGTCCGTCTGTTTCTGCTTCGAAACGCCCAGGGGGTTCCAGAGAGCTTGCTTCCGCCCCCAAGCGTAACAATCTCACTTCCTTGGCCGAGGTTAGTAGGGACTTGGGTAGATCCGTAATATCACAGTAATGCGTCTTGTCTCTATACCGGGCGAGAAGCGGGGCGATTCCTTCATACAGAGTTTGAGAGGGTTCCAAAGAATCGATTATCCTCGAAATTTGCACGAGGGGCTCGCCTAAGATCATCGCCTTGGTCCTTTGAATTTTTCGGTTAGTTAGTTGCATCGTTCTTGCTATCGTTTTAGGAGGCGGGTAGTAAACAAGTTGTCGTACCAATTTCAAGATCTCCGGATCATCTTCGTCACTGCTTTCTGTATCATCAGTTGATGATTTTACTTCTGCGGGTTCGTTCCAGGAGATCATGCGGAGAGTTCCTTCCACCATTGGTGAAACCCGGGGAACTTTGTTAACAGTGGTACGAAGGGTTAATTGCATGGGCACAGCGTAGGGTCTTTCTCCAGTGTTTCGGAGGACGATCGTCCGTCGTTCGAAGTCCACGTTTGCTCGTAATGCCACAAGAGCGGGAAGTCCGAAAAGAACGTCGTAGGTATTGACATCCAGTACTACGACATCCCCAAGTGCATGCACTTTACCCAATCGGAAAGCGACATTGGTCATTCTCCCCACAGTTTTGATCTTTTCCTCGTCCGCAGAGACGAGCTGATCTTTTTCTGCCAGCATTATCAGGTCACTTTTCCGTCCTGCTCGTTCAACTACTTGCAGAGAGATAGCTAGGACAGCAGCACCCGAATCAATGATCGCGTTGTACGAAACTCCCCAGATTTCAATATCACATTCTGCGGATCTCCACGGAATCGGTTTGATCCGTAGAAAGTGATCATCTCTCTGAATCAATCCAAATCGGACTGGTTCAGAGGGTCCTGACGCGTTGTCAAGCGACCGCAAGTAGTCCGCCGCCTGAAAACGGCAGTTTTGGGACTTAGGCTCAGGGATAAGTCTGTGTTTTGACGGTACACTGGACTGACCAGGAGGCCGAGATTAAAGGAACTCWCGGCACCCCTAGTTTTGGGTGTGTCGACCATTGAGACTAGGCCTCGAAATTGCAGAGAAGAACTACCGCTTTGCTGCCCTTACGGCTACCTTATTGTCTATCTCATTTTCGCCCGCTCCAAGCCTTTTCCCGAAACGACTGGCTRCGGGACRGTAATTTGAGAATAGGCTTTGACAAGGCCTTTTTACGCTGTCCAACTGACGCGAGAATGGAGCCTCACATTTCATTAATTTTAATATTAGAATTAAAAATAGGAAAATAGAATTAAAAGCAAAAGAAGAGAAGAGAAAAACGGATATTCTTTGATTTATAAATTTTCCTTGATATTTTATTTTAAAAGGAATCACCCTCATTATTTGGTGATTCCGGCATTAGAATTAAAAACAAGAAAAGGGGATCAAAAGCAATGAAAAGAGAAAGAAACAAGAGATTTTGATGTTTTACTGAGTTCCGTCGAAAAACATTTTTGATGAGAATCCTTTTAATTTCGTTAATTATGATATAAAATTAAGAAATAAAAAGAAATATAACTAAAATAATAAAAGGGCGAAGGAACCTACGATTATTTAATATTTATTTTTTTTTTACTTAAATATTCGCGATTGATTTTGACCCCGGATTATTTATCTATTCATCATCCGATGATT